GACCGCTGTCAACCACGTCTGAAAAACGTCGTCTGATCTTTTTACTGCACGTGAGTTTTTCCCCTTTCACCAAGTACCTCATATAGCCAATCCGCTTTTCTATTTTTTTTTTTATATATATATCTCCAAAGCATTACCAGAAACAACCATCCGCTTTGCACTTCTTAAAGATGGACTCATAGTTTCTGTAGGTTCTTGTTGACTTAAAACATTTAATAATACTGCATGTCCTTGGTTGCGTGTAAATTGTTCCTCAGTTTTTTTCGGTGTCGGCTTCATTTTTACTTTCTGAAGCTTGTTTTTCACGTATATTGTCAGTGTTACCCATGCAATTTTTTTAAATAAACCGATTTTCTCTAATCTGTCCAATTCTTTATCTATCTGTTCAATTAAAGCAAAAAGCACATTCCTTTTCTTTTTGAATACCGCCTGAGCGTTTTGTTTTGGCTGTAATTTTGCCTCCATCTTGGTACACGTTCCCAAACCTGGAGAAAAAAAAACAGTAGGAAAAGTTCTCTTCAGTTTTCTAACTAATTTTTGAGCTTCGTAGTTTAAATTTTCATCCTTGTAACAGAAAGAATTTATTGGTAAATCCCATAATTGAAATTCTGTTATCCAATCCGTACCAAGTAAGTTCGTGGTATTTTTTATGGCAAATAGTTTAGCTTTTCGCGTCTTTTTTTTATTTAACGTGACGTTTGTAACAAATTCTCTAATAAATTGTATTTTTTCTCCTGTCACTGACTTCGCGATTTTATTTGTCTTCATTAAAGTTGATTTCCCCAACTTCTTCCACGTATTTAAATTTATGAACCAGTGTCGAGTTGCATTTTTATTTTTTTATTACTTATTTCGACCCTAACAAATTTTCAAGTTATTCCGTCGTTCACTTCGTCGGACTTTAATTTTCTTATTTTATTGTCTTTATTTTTTGACCTGCAGTGCGAGCTTTTATACCCCACTCTTTCACAGTTGAAACATTTTTTATTCCTAAAATTGCAATATCTATACCAGTGAAGTTCACCGCAAGCAAAACATGGCTTCGGGAGTTTTTGTTTATTTTTTCTGGTATTTCACTTTTTGTTTGATAATCCGCAATTTTAGAATTCTTTTTGGTAGACTGACTTTCTTTTTTGTAGCGTATTTTTCTTACATGCGAAACGCCAGACTGTTCTATCTTTTTCGAGTCTTTCTTTACGCTAACATATCTTGGGCAGTCTTCTGCCAAACTCTGTACCGAAATCCTTGGTTCGTTTTCCAATTTTGAAAGTACCAATTTCCTCAATTCTGCGTCTCTTTCTGAAACTAGGCCTTGAACAAATATTAAGCACTTAAAATTGTCAGCGCTTAATTCTGCTAGTTTGAATTCTTCACAATGCTTGTTCACATTAGCTGCATACGTTATAAAGTTTTGTTTATCCTCTTTCATCATTCAAACATTTCCACCTTTTGTGAAACAAAGATTTCTTTTTACTAAATAATTCACTTAATATATTTACCGCCTCGGTAAAAGTTAACTCGCTAGTTTTTTTCGGTAAAATGTAGTTTACCAATTTGTTATGCTCAGCAGTTCCTAACTTGCTTAAAAGAAGTCTAACCTTCTTTCCTTCAGACCACGTGTGGCAGTCCTCGTTATACACGTCCGTATATTTTTTAAAATACTCTTCAAAAGTTATTTCTTCGTCTGGACTGTACGTGAATATTTCAATCGAATTCCATATTGTATTCTCTGGGAAAGAATCATTTTGTAGATTTTTCTCTTTCCTCTTTTCCGTTATTTCCAGAATTTTGTTTTGAAACTCCTTATGCATCAGTTCCATTTCTCTTTGAAACTGTATCTGTCTATGAAAGGTATCGCCCTGAAGTTGTATCTGGAAGGTTTTCTACTGGTCCAATATTGTCTTTTGTTGTTCCGTCTGGAACTTAAAATTCCTGGAATATATTTTTGCATTCCTCCATCTTCGCAAAAAGTTTACACAATGCTTAAATATTGTAGAGGGGGGTCCAAAACGAATTTGTAATTCGTGACCTATTTGAGCAAAGTGTCTTATCGAGAAAAAATAATAAAATTCTTTTCTCAGTTGAGAATACGACGGATTTTTTCGTCACTAAGTTGACATTTTGTCTTTCGAAAAAACTTTGCCAAATTTTTTTTTTTTTTATGTGAATCCGAGTTGTTGTCGCCGAAAATTTGACGAGCAATTTTTTTTCTCTTTTTCTTCCGTATGAAACACGAATTTCGTCACTAAATAACGTGAGCGAATTTTTTTTTTCTCTTCACTGTATGAAACCCAATCCCACGTACGCCACGTTTATTATGGCGGGTAATTTTTTTTTCTCTGTATGAGTTACGAATTCACGTTGTCAAGTGTCGTAGAGTGAACGCAAATTTTTCTTCCGTATGAAACAAAAATACGTTCGTCGCCAAGTGTTGTATATGGCGAAATTGTTTTTTTCTTTCTCCGTCTGAGTTTCGAATCCTCGGTCGCCAATGTTGTTATAGAATGAACGAAAAATTTTTTCTTACGTATGAATTACGAATTCCTTGTCGCCAATGTGTTGTTAGGCGTACGAAAAGTTTTTTTTTTCTTTCTCCGTCTGAGAAACGAATCCCTCGTCGTCAATGTTGTAGTAAAGTAAACGAAAATTTTTTCTTTTCCCGTGTAAATTACGAGTCCCTCGTCGCCAAAATGTTGTAGAGTAGTTTTCACAGATGAGGCTTGTATTTCAATAAGTCGTCCTAGGTTCGACGTACAAAACATTAGGAACTTGGAAATAAGAGTTAATGACGCAGCAATCTAGTTGTGATGGTTGGTACTTCAATGTCCGATATCGTCTGACTCGCTCAACACCACTGAACCGAACTGTCCACTGCTACTACTACTTATTATCTGTGGGAGAGTTCATTACAATAGAATAGGTATTATGGCATAACAGTATTTGACCTCTCGAAACCTATAAAAATATTTTAATTAATTTATTAATTTACTAGCGGGGATACCCGGCGTTTATCGGAAGAAATAATATCATCTTTGGTTTCATTGCTATGTTAAAATTCAATAACATGTTGATTCATAGTTTTGTTAATCTTATGCCATTGCAAAGACATAGGAGTCAGATTTCTTAAGAATATGACTGGAGGTATCCCCTTTTTCCGAATGAGATTTTAAAGTGTCATGACAGATTGTTGCAGGGAATTATGAACAAAACTTTTTTTTTAAACAGAAAATAATTATAGGATGGACATTCCACTATTTATTAAAGTAAATATATTGCCTATGCATTTTATCAAATTAACACTAGTATTTATTTTTCTTTAAATCAGAAAAGAATTACATCCTTTAAAATAATTTATTTGGTTTTATAGCGATTTTAAAAAAAAAGGTATTTTACACTTAAATTGATGGTTGTCAGTAAAAAGTAAAAAAAAGAAACAGAAATTGATTTCATGAAAAAATAAATCAAATATATATATATATATATATATATATATATATATATATATATATATATATATATATATATAAAGTTGTAAACTGTCTTTCATGTCCTGTCTACAATGTATTTTTGAAAGAATAAATATTTTTGGAAAATTTAAATTTAGTAAAATAAAAAAGTAATTCAACAAACAGAATATTTTTGAAAGTATAAATAATTTTTAGAAAATTAAATTAAATAGTTTATTAAAATTTTTATAATCTCCACCCCACCCATCATGTTTATGATCCCCACCCCAGGATGTTTAAAACGATTATTGTGTATATTTAGAGTAATTTGTTTGTTTTTGCATTCATTTTTAAAACTTAATATCTAAACTTTTAAAAAATTTTAATTTCAATAAAATGGTAAAAGAGAGTTAAAAATTTCCCGATTAAAAATACCGAAAAAGATGACTTAGAAACGCTTACATGACTAAAAATGCATTCTAATGCAATCGTTATGTATTTTTAATTTAAAAATATCTTCGCAAATACGATGATAATTTTTTTTGCAAAAATCTGGGTTGGGTGGTACTGAGTCTGCATATATATATTTTTTTTTTATCGTTTCTTACTTATTGAAGTTCTTTAGTTTTAACCGGACACGCATGCATACAGACAACTGCCATTTATATATATATATATATATATATATATATATATATATATATATATATATATATATATTTATACACGTTTCATTAAATAATATAGACAAGTATTGTCTATTTATTTTATGTAAAATTTGTTCGTAACTTCTGATAAGTTTGATAACATTATCATTAAACGAAGAAAGAAATTCACAATATTGATCCATATTTTTTAATATAATCTAAGCTTTCGGCTTACTTAAGCCATTATCAAAGATGTAAATCACAAACATATTAAACAATATTCGGACACGACAGTGATGATAGTCTGTCATTGTTTACATAGTGGATCACTAAGCAACGATAAACACGCGCATATAAGACGCTAGAAGCGAAAATCGCACCGCATCTCATGACGTCACACATGACTACACGAGTGAATTGTAGAATGAAATAAGGAAAATGTTGGTATAAACCAATGGCTTCTGTTACCAATTATAGACATTTAAGAATATTTGTAGACATGCCATAATTGATTTTTTGTTTAGGTTGGGTTTTAATTGTTTGATGTATAATGCTTCAAGTATTTTTAGTTTTTTGTCTATTGTTTTCATGTCGAAGTATAGTTGTGTTTTCGACAAGTATTTTACGAAATTATTGTGCGGGCAGGCATGTTGTTTTAAATGCCTAAAAAATGTTAGAGTTTTATTAAAATGTAGTGTCAAGCGTCGTGAAAGCGAGTTTGTGGTGTGACCAACATAAATATTATTTAATTCGTTGGAGATACACTCTCCCAAAGGGCACTTGAATTTATAAACTATGTTGGTTTTTTGCAAATCGCTAACCGGGGGAGAAGAATCATTGCGAAGTATTAAGTTGGATATACTAGATTTAGTGTAGTATATGATTAATTTAATTTTTTTGCTAGGATCTAGATAGATAGATAGATAGATAGATGTATAAATGTTCGTGGAGGAAAATCTGATTCTATTAAAAGTAACTGAAAATTCCCCCACAAATATCGAATATTTGAATAAATAAATATTAAACTTTTTTTTTCCAATAATTGTTTTTATATACTTCTTCGTTTAAATTTACTTTGTTGTTTTAATATTCATTTTTTAAAGTTACGCTTTTATTTACTATAGATATGGAAATAAATTCAAGAGAATAGAAATTTTTACAATCCATATACCGTTTCGAAATCATCAGCAGAATTAAAAAGTAAAAAATGGACGGAAATAATAATTATTCCTGTTCGTTTTTACTTTTTAATTCTGCTGATAATTTCGAAACGCTTACATGGCTAAAAATGCATTCTAATGCAATCATTATGTATTTTTAATTTTAAAATATCTTCGCAAATACGATGAAAATTTTTTTTGCAAAAATGTGGGTTGGGTGGTACTGAGTCTGCATATATATATTTTTTTTTATCGTTCGTTACTTATTGAAGTTCTTTAGTTTTAACCGGACACGTATGCATACAGACAACTGCCCTTTATATATATATATATATATATATATATATATATATATATATATATATAGATAGATAGATAGATAGATAGATAGATTGATATTTTTTTAAGTTTATTAAGATATCTTCTTTTTCCTAGAATTTAATTCCTTTTATTTAACAATTTTTTAAAAATAATTATTTGTCATTTTTCTTCAAAGCAGAATCAGCATTGCTGCTGTTAATATTACAAGGCGGAGCATTTTATAATATTCCATTTAATCTTAGTGTACATATTTTTTTCTTTCTATTTGTAGCTGTATATATTTAGAAAGAGTCGTAATATTAGCATTGGTATGCTAGTCTTCTCCACAAGCATTATCTTCGGTATGCTGGGTTTCCCTACAAGTTCAAGAGCTACGGTGTCCCTGGACGAATATTTGACTTAATCCCATCATTCTAAACAAATCGTTTAATGAAGACCGTATTGAACGGACACGTTTCTAGTATAAATGCAGATGCCTACTAGGGATCTATCCTCAGGCCCATGCTGTTTCTGATTTTTATCAACGTCCTTCTTGATGTCATCAGTTATCAACTAGGCATTTATCCAGATGAAACAACTATTTACTCCTGTCTTAGTAGAAAGTTCAACAGATTCGACAAAGTAAAACTGGCAAATGCTTTCGAAAATGACCTCCAATCAGTTGTTAACTGGGGCAAGGAATGGCTTGTAAGTTTTAACGCCTCCAAACAAAACTGCTTTCATTTAATCACTCCAGAGAACCTTTTCTGTCTACTACCAGCATGGCTAATTCTAACCTCCAGGAGAGCAACTTTTTGCACCTTCTTAGGCTCACGTTTTCTGCTGACATGACGTGGAGTGATTATAATGAATCAATTGCTATGTTTACTGCTAGGAAAGTTTGTTCACTGAGTTGTGTCAGACAATGCTTCTTGTCAGAATTCATCTTGAACAATTATAAATCTACCATTCATTTGTGCATTGAGTACTTATGTCATACCTAGTCTAGTGCTCCTACTATATATATACCGGGATTGTTGACAAAATTCACAGAAAGGTCTGTAATGTAATCGATTCTGACCTGGCATCTCGACTCCAGTCACTTTCACACTAACGTGGCTTTCCTCTGTCTTTACTACCAATATTTTCATGGCAATTTTTCTGATCTTCTCTCTTTAGTGCATCAACTGTTTTACTGTTCAACTAATTAGATGTAACCGTAAGCTCTATTCTAATAGTTTCTTTTCTCGCCTGTGGAACTCCTGATTTCTTGCTTCCCTGTCATCTGTAATCTTCAAAAATTTAAATGCAACGTCAATCGCCGTCTCCTGTCTTTATTGTCCTTTTCCCCACTTCTCATCACTAAAGTCTTCTCATTTTCTTTCACTCTCTGTACCCACCTCCCTGCACCCTAGTGGCATTATCACCTTGCTTAGGGTTAAATGATTAGAAAAATCTTTTGATCCTGAAAGTCATTTTATAATTGTAATACTTTTCTTTTCGAATTTTACTATTGCTCCCATATCATTTTTATATATAATTTTTTGTATCAATATATGCATATGTGTGTGTGCGTGCGTGCGTGCGTGTGCTTAGATAGCAATTCCTCTTTTAGACAAGTTTGATTAAAGACGACTCACAATGTACTACAATTGAGCTTGTCATTCAATTGTTCTTGTTTTCGTATAAGTAATTTATTTTTGGGCCATAAAGTCTGTAAAAATTGTCCAAATCTTCTATATATCCAAGTGATTTCGGCTATTCTATTACCTAAATCCAGTTGAACGGAATCTCAGTATCATGTGCCTGACTTAAAGGGGGATTTCACTCTTTATCTTCCAGACACTTTTATGCGCTTGATGCAAGGGATGATTTTATTTTAATCTTAAAACTGTTTTGTGCACTTGAAGCGATGGTTGACCAAAGTGATGATTTTACGTCTAATCTACCTAACTTAATCATTCACCTGATACCAGCGATGATTTTATTTGTAATCTTCCAGACTATTTCATACGCACGAGGCAAGCGATTATTTTCATTTAATCTTTCAAACTATTTTATGCGCTTGAAGCAAATGTGGATTTTACTTCTACTTTTCCTGATTATTATAGCCGCCTACCGGATTTCACCACTAATCTCCCAGGTTCTTTCACAGGCACGTTTTTAATTTTAATGTATCAGGCTTTATTCATGCGCAATGGGAGGATGGTTTCGAATCTCATTCTCAAGATTCGACACAATGCTGGATTTTAGATCTAATATTTCAGGCTATTTTAAACGCCTGACGCAAAGATGGATTTTACTTCAAATCTTACAGACAACTGCACGAACCTGATGCACACGATGTTTTACATTTAGTCTATTTTATATTCCTGACGCACAAGTGAATTTGAAATCACATCTTCCAGACACTTTTATGCACGTGATGTAGGGGAGGATTATGCTTTTAATCTTCTATACTATTTTTTACGCCTGTCGCAAACATAGATTTTACTCCTAATCTTGCGGTGTCTTTTCCCACACCTGACAAAAAATGATGGCTTTACATTTCATTTTTCAGTCTCCTTTATGTGTCGCAATGAACGTTGGGATTTTTACTATATCACACGCGACGTAAATGATTATTTTACTTCAAATCTTTCGGGGAATTTTATACCGTTTGATGTAAGAGGTGAATTTTCCAGTCTATTTCAATTTTCAGATGATTTCAGAGACCTAACGCAAGCGATGATATTACTTGATCTGTGAATCTGGCACGCAATCAAAATTGAAATAGTAAATATTTCCTAAAAATGCATTTTGTTTTATAATTTTGTTAATCCATTTTTTTCTCTGTCTGAATTTCTCGGATGAGGAGTTATCATTATTTACACTATTTATATTTCTCCTCATCTTTGTTGTTGTTATCACAACCTTTCGGTCGTTGTGTCCCCCGGCCTTCATCAGCTGTATATCGACCCGGGTAACCTACAGGGAATTTCAAACCGAGCCTTTTATTTAATCTACGAGGTTAGACTGTTCTCGTTCTACTGCCCAAATCTAGGGATATTTCGTCTAGATCTTATTTTTAGTCATTTCTCGCCCTGTTTCCATTGAGTTCAAGTGCCTGGGATTGAACTCACAATTACTATGTCACCAAATTCACGAACCAACGCTTTTATCCACTAGGCTTTTGTTCCGTAGAAAATTTTTTTGTAGAGAATTGTCTGCCCGTAAGTGAGTGCTACTGCGACTTCTTGTCATGCTTGCCTGCACGTACTGAGGCTTTTCTCCCGTGTTACAGCTGCTGCTGTTGAAGACTTACTGTTATCTTTCTTTCTTTCTTTAACGGCTCCTATTTGATTCTAAGTAGGTCTTCATAACCTAGTATACGCGCTGATATCTTTTAGACGTATTTTTCCTTGTCCAGATTGGCAAGCCTTGTCGCGGATGGCAGCTATAGCAAAGTGACAAAAGGATCCAATCTTAAACGTTAAGAGTAAACAGAACAAGGACTATTTCGCACAGAATAAGTATAGACAGTGATTGAACGTTACACCAAGCTGTCACACATGTATGGTCTCTCCAAGAATCACAAAGGTGGTATTCCATTGAGACTTATAGCCAGATGTAGGGGGTCATCATGCCACTCGTTGAGCAGATTCATGAATAGAGTTAATCCATTAACAGAGAATTCTTCGTCCTATGAGACCGAGACAGTGGTTTGAAACCTAGGAGAACGTAGTAACATTCCAATAGATACTCTAATGGAAATGCTGATGTTCTATGTACAGATAACAGTCTTCCAACTAGAGTCTGACATATACCAAAAGGAAGAAGGTTTGGCTATGATTTCCCCGTTGTCACCAGTGATGGCATACATATACATAAAATACATCGAAGAAATAGCTATAGGAACAGCTTTACTAAAGCCAAAAGTATGGCTGAGATACATAGATGTCACCTTCATACTCTCTCCGTACCAGGAAGCTGTACAAATATTGTTAAACCATGTGAACTCAATAAGATGTTCGATACAGTTCACAATGGAAGAAGAAAATAATAATCAGCTAGTCTTGGTGAGTGTATCAATAATTCGCACAAAGAATTCGTTCAAGTCATCCGTATATCACACACGTCAATCTTCAACGGACAATATCTTAACTTAAAAATCCCCACCATCCATACAGAGTGAAGAAAAGGATCGTTCGATGCATACAGCATCGAGAAAAATTATATGGTGGTCAAGAAACGACCAAAATTATGCGTAGCCTTCAGAATAACAACTACCGTGCAAACATAACATCAGCGTCTGCAGGTGGAAATGGAAGGGTAAAGGAGGAGAACCATAAAATAGTCACAGTTTGCCTGTTTTACTTCAAGGGTTTATCAAAAAATATTCAGAAGAACTGCAGTCCATATAATATCAGGATAATATCCAGAAGCAGCTCGCTTACGGAGAAATATCTGCTGAATAAAACCTAACACGGGGAAGAACATGACCAAGAACTGTGTATACTGCATTCCTTGCAGTTGTAATAAGCTGCTTCTTAAAAATAAGGCTGAAGAAACATCGAAAATTCGTAAGGTGAGACAATGAATTCGGGCATGGCTGATCATGTATGTAGGGATCTACCTCTGCGGAATGAAATGAAAATACTGGACAAGGAAGAACACTGTAGAGTTAGACGTCTGAAAGAGTGCATTTGAGGACTTCCTTAGTAGCTTTGGCATAGAAATAAATACGATATGGGAGCCGCTAATAAAAAATGACAAATGACAGTCTTCACCACCAGCAGCAGAAACAGCAGCAGCAGTAGCTGTAACAAAAGTGAAAAGCTTCTGTCACAGTCAAGCATAACAAACAGAAGCAGCTGCACCCATCTAGCAGGCAGGCAATTTAGGTTTAATGTTCCAAGTTCTTCACAAAGAGTTGTCTACGTGTTGATTCGTGAATTTGATGACTTAGTAATTGTGAGTTCAATCCCTGGGTCGAGCAGTACTAAAATTAAGAACTAGACGAGATATCCTGAGACATTGAACGAGAACCCGTAGCTTAAATAGGGCTCAGTTGGGAATTCACCGTAGGTTACCCGGATCGATATATACCTGATGTTGGTCAGAGTGCACAATGGCCGAAACGTTGTGATAACAACGACAAACATGAGGACGATAGTTTGAATGTAAATAGTGTAAATAATTGTTTATTCATATATCTAACCTTTCAATACAAAGAAAAAAAATGAACTTAATGTAAATTTGCTGAGTCAACGTCAAAAAGAAAAATGACGAGAATGTAAGCGCTGCTCATTCCGTTTTTGGCAAGAAATTTAATTTTGTAGCGATCTATTTCAGAATTTAATTTAAAACTTTATATATCCAGCATTTTGAACATGATAAAAGAAGACACGCATTTACTTTTTTGCATAACTTCAAGTTTGGTCCTAATGCTTCTCAAACTGCTACCAACATTAACAGAGCACAGGATGAAGGATCCACTTGATTGGACAGTAAGGCGCTAGTTTTTAAATTTCCGAACTGGGGATACGAGTCTTGAATATCAAAGGTGGTAGAGGACGTTTATCTGCAATTGACAATCAATATCTGAAAACAGTAGTCGAACAAATCCCACGTCTCGTCATTTCAACAACATCGGACCGTCTCAAGAAAATTGTCGAGGTGAAGAAACTCGATAAATATGTTCCACATGAACTCTGAGAAAGTCAAAGAGTTCGACGTTTTGAAGGATGTGCGATTCTGCATCTTCGAAATTCGAATGATCCATTTCTTGATCGAATAGTGATAAGAAATGGATGCTTAATGACAATCGTAAACGATCGGTTCAGTGACTTGATCCTGATGAAAGAACCAAACATTGTCCAAAACCGAAGTTGCACCAACAGAAGATTATGGTAAATGTCTGGTGATCCGCCATTGTCGTTTTCCATTACAGCTGTTTAGAACCTAAAGAAGGCATCACTGCAAAAGTTTACTGCCTGCAACTGAATGAATGCATATGCAGATAAGCAAAATGAGATCGGCACTGGTTAATAGACGACGTCCAAGTCTGCTTCATGTCTCAATACTCGAACATACGTTGCCAGGATTACATTGCAAAAGCTCACCGACTTGGAATACGAGATTTTGCCACATCAACCATATTCCCATAATCTACCCACTTAAAACCAAAAAGATTGCAAAGAAGATGCAGATATGTATTCATAGATTTTATGGCGACCAAACCACTAACCCCGTGACTCGATGGCAGAAGTATAAAGCTGTTCAAGGTTCCTATTTTGACTGTTTAAATACATTAATTCAGAAATAAAAGCCGACTCTAAAATCGGTCATTTTTTTACGAACAACCTAATACAAAGGTGGGTTTGTCCGCGGCCGCATCATGTCGCCGAATACTTCAAGCCTAAGCCTGTGAGTGAATACACTGCCAGGTATTGGTTCCAGAAGTTTAGGTTGAGAGATCTGTCTCTTTGTGATGAACCACACAGTGGCCGACCACAGATCCTGGATGATGAGGCCCTGAAGGCGGCCATAAAGGGGAGGACAACAGCCAAACATGTGGTGAGTTTGCCGAGTGCTTCCAGGTTTCTGATGAAAGTCAGACTTCACCTGCACCGCATGCTGAAGACGTACAAGTGGGTTCGTCACACACTGTCGGAAGCTAACAAACAACAGCTTTCTCGACACCGTAACGTATCCATATTTGATCGTGTGCTCACCAGTGACGAAAAGTGGGTCCTGTATGACACTTATAAGCATGCCAGACATTGGTTGTTACTAAATGACCCCGTTCCTCACAGAACAAGTTCACATCTATAACCACGTATGATCATGCTCTGTATCTAGTGGACTATGTGGTACACGATGAACTGCTACCAACGGGCCAAACAATCACTGCGGACCTGTACTCGCAGTAGATGGAACGTGTGCAACAGGCACTGAAGTAAAATGTGCTACCACTGATTAATCGCAAGGGTGTACTGTTTCTCCTTGACAATGCCAGGCCTCATGTGGCGCAGGTGGCCACGGATACCATACGGCACATTTCGCAAGTGAGATAGACTTGCGGTAGGCACTTATATATTTCTCTGCGCTAAAAAACAACTTGATTTCTACGCATCTGGAAGCACATTAGCAAAAGTTACTGAATGCCGATGGCGATTACTTTGAAGATTAACGTTATGTCAATCTGGCTGTATATCTATTTATTTTTTTTAATAATTCAAAAACGGCTGGGACTTTTTTGTTTAGCTCTCATTATCTTGACAAAAAGCAGCTTTTAAATGAATTTATTAGAAATAAACAACAAAACTGTTCAAACAAAACAACTGTATTTAATTGTTTTATTTTTCAGGTTTGAGGCATATTTTTACATCTCATTGACGTTTTGAATAAAATTTAAAATAACTTTTCTGGGAACTTTATAGAGTTCTTTTTTTTTTTAGTGTTCAAATTGAGATTTCGTAAAATTAAATAAAGTTATGGATTAGTTAACTCAAAAAATAATTCACAAGTAAGTACGAACAATTTAACAGTAATTCAATAATAACTGATATTTTTAATGACTGTGGTTCGCTGATAAAAAGTGTATGAATCCGACCACACGTAATCACTGATTTACAGTGTTAACCACTCTTCAAAGACAACATAAGTTTTATATTAACATTTTCCACTCATTTCTTGCGAACCGAACAAAAATTGACATGTTATTCTTTTTTGGCGAAATTTCTTTGACGTTTTGCAAAAATGTGTGGTGATACCTTACTTCTAAGCACCGTCAATTATTCAGTGATTGACGACTAAAGATGGCAGCATTCATTCCCAGAAATATTTTTTAGGGTACTGCTGTCAAGCTGTCCATGTTTATTAAATTTGTTAATACAAAAAACAACAAAAAATGATACTTGCAACCATTTGAAAGAAATTACACAAACACACACACACGCACACATATAAACAACAAAAACTATTTCGGAACAGTAACGTTGTATTGAGATGTCTAACAGTGACAGGTGTTTAAAAAAAAAAAAAAACAGAAAAGATACAATGGAAAGATGAAAAAAAGATTATTTAGCATGAAACAATGTATGACAAACTGTTTTTTATTGGGTTTTTGACCCACTCCGGTCAGTATTCATTCATATCGAAATGAGCAAATAAAGCCTAAGAAACAGACGACCGAATGTTGAGGAGAAATTATCTCTGAGAGGCTCGCGTCTATAACTAAATGATTGCAAATGCTTTAAAAGCGACAGAAAAGCACAAGTTGTTCACATGGCAATATGAAACTTCATGAAGATTTGAGAAATGCACTTATTCGTTTTGATTTAGGGTTTTCCTTTTTGAATGTTTGATTATTAATTATTAAAGATTATGTTTAAAGGACAGTTTCAAATGCTTAGTAACGCGCGTTTCAATATTTCTAGTCATGCCTTTTCCTTTAGATTTGTGCTTTTTGCGTCCTTGGCAGAACGAGAAGGAATATTGTATCATTTGATATTTTCTTTCACATCAGGCATATATCCCGACGCCATTTTTATTCGTTTTTACTTGGTTCATTTATTGTTCGACTGTCTGCTATACTGCGACAGTAATCGAAACAGACGATGAGGTATTTGTAGACTGTCACACTGTAATGATATGTGTACCGTTCCGTCTTCGGTGAGAATGAGCGCGAGGTTTCTTCCTGCGTCTTTTCTTGGATCTGACTGCTGTCCAGTTGAACGAAGCTCTAGTCGTTATGTCTGGAACAACCACAGGTCTCAAATGAGGATCAATAGGACATTCTCCATCGTCTACTGTGATATCATCAATGGCCATATCACCTTGGTAACCAGTCTCGGTAGAACCCTCGAAAACGACCTGTTGGAAAAATGAAAATCAAGAAAGGATGATCAGTTAAAGCAAATAATTCTTGTATAAGAGTTTGATTCAGTTCAGACACACAGCAATTGTTGGATATATGTGTAACCGACAAAAGAAAATTTGGCACGAAGGTGACACAAAAGCATTCAGTTATTTTGTAATTCTTTGAGAACAGATTAAATGGATAAACGGAATTCCTTAAGTAATTTTGTGACACAATGAAATCAAGACGAATGCTCGTCGACAAACAAAATTCTCTTCGAATGGGTTCGAAACTGTGTCCCCCTTTGTAGGAGAAACCACCTTTTGATCCGGCGTGGTTTAGACTGCCGGAGAGTACACATTTTCTTTATTAAGTTTTCTTGAGTGTGCAATCCGGGAAAAATAGTACCCACCGATTCAAATAAAAGAACGAAGCGTCTACTTCAAACACGGTCATCCACTAATTTGAAGTAATAAAAATATTGGATTAAAAATAAAATCCATTAATTTTTTAGAAATTGATCTGTTTACGTTTCGGATATGAAATAGAGCAGATATGGATCTTCGAGAAAATCTGAACGACGGAAATTGCATCCCTTAAAAGGGTGAATAGAAATTTGTTGGTCTCTGACTCTCTTCGTAGCCGAGCGGTCTAAAGCATGTTCTTCTACGAAAAAATCTCAAATAACATTGACCTGTTATATTACCAAAACTTTCAAAGATCGTCGACTGTTTCCCTCAAAAGTCTTCAACGTTATTTATTATCTTGTATTGAGAAATCGAAAAAATCGTGCGCTGTCGTGGATATTAGCGATGCATAGTTGAGTCCGAATACTGACTTTCATTTCAGGCTGGAAAATCGACCTTTAACACGAGTGGGAAAATGAAAATCCAGTTCAATAGTAAGATCTACAACGCTAAACGCTCTTGCCAGTTCTAAAACAACATCCTCAGCGGTCTTGGAATTTGGTTTTTCTATGATGGTCAAACCATTTTAGAAAAGCAAAACTTATGGATTACTTGTGTTTAAATGTATTGCACCTCCCTCCTCACCCACTTCTGTTAGGATAGGCTTAATTGCTCAACTTACATCTCGCACCCCCACCGTCATGCCTACTTCCGCCTCCAATGAATACCTGACAACACTGACGAAAACGAGGCGATGAATGCTCATGGCGCCTCTAGTTTATCACAAACCTGATTTTTAATGCATCTGATTTTGGAAAAATCAATTCGAATTAACCTTGAACCTACCAAACGGCAAAATAAAAACGCCATTCTCTACTTTCCTCTTCGCCAACGCAAAATGTTTCTTTTCTTTATAAACAAAATGTGATAATGATTTTTTGAAATCAAGATTTACATCATTTCTGCCTAAGATTAACTATTGCTATGATTAAAGGATTCTTTCGAATATCCTTATCTTTGTTGTATTTACAACACTATTCATCTGTTGAATAGGAATTTAGATAGACATTTAATAAGTTTTGTTTAGTCTGGCACAAGGCTACAATATCACTGGGTGAGAATTAAACTCGGTCGTTTGTGAAATTTACTTTGCTAATCATCGCTCTATAGAACACATCTTAGTTATTTACTAAGCTCTGTCTGGCACAAGGCTATTGTTATGGTAATTTACTCACACACATATAGGAGCAGGTACTGCTTTTTGGAGAGGGAAGTTCCAGCAGTCAACTCTGACAGTCGGACCGAACATTCTTGCTGTAACACTCTCGTTTGCATATGTTTGTATTACTGTTTTTGTCAATATATTTATTTAACCCAATTCCTTTCTTTGTGTCTTTATTTCTGGCCATAACAAGACCACAACAGCTATATAATTGAGGGAATCAGTAAGAATACAAACCTACACAAGTAATAGCAAACAGGATTAGTTTGCGAATCAATAATAACTGCCCAAACAAAAGAAAAATATTGTTCACAAAATTGTCAATATTCCTTAATAAATAGATATATAATTAAAAAAAATAATTCTTTATGAAGAAAAATGAAACACACATTATATATATATATATATATATATATATATATATATATATATATATATATATATATAATACAGCCGTCTGATTTTGAATGGTAAAACAATTTCAAAGCGATTTTAAGGATCTTTTCTTAAAGTCACTCATGAAAATGTTTGTGAAAATTTTATTAAAGTGGTGGTGGTAGTGGTCATCGTTGTCATAACAACCAATACCGCTAATTCTATCCCAGCTATATATATATATATATATATATATATATATATAATGGTGTATCAAAAATACTTTGGGTGCGAGTTCTCACACCAAAACAAGGACAAAAGTGCCTATAAATCTCCGCAAATCCTTAGTTTTTGAGTTATTAAGTTTAAAAAAAAGGTTTACGGTAGATGGCACTGTGTTGCCATGTAGACTAGGTTACATTTGTCATTCGTGTACATTTTTGGCTAGTCTGTCTTCAACGTTTAACGTGTGTACTAGTGAGTTAACTGAGAAGTGTTAGCATGTCAGGATGTTCATCTCGTGATATGATTTTTACATACGGCCGCGCAAATGCTAATGTATGCCATGCTGCACGGCTGTATCAAATCGCGTTTCCAGACCGAAGGCAGCCGAGTCATCCAACCTTTGCTGCTGTTTATCTTCGCGTTGCTGAAACAGGATCCATGGCACCACAAAGTATTGAGGAAGACCGAGATCAGCTCGGACGCCTGACCACGAAGAACGCATTCTCTGTCAGAGAATCGTTCCAAGTATCAGTGTACGTCAAGTGGCCCTAACATGTCGTACATCTCATAGTACCGCGTAGAGGGTACTTCAAGAGTAGCTCCTGCACTCGTATCATTTGCAACATCTGCAGGGTCTTTCACCCTCTGATCACTCACCACAGGGAGAACTTTGCCGATGATTTATTGTACAAACTACCGATCCGTTGTTTGTCTCTTCAGTCTTGTTTACGGATGAGGCAACATTTGGAAAAGATGAAATTACAAATTTATGCAACCAATATTTGTGGGCGGATAGGAATCTCCATGGTACAATACAGGCTATACACCAGCATCAGTTTACGATTAGTGTGTGGGCTGAATTTGTAGGTGACCGTCTGGTGGGTTCATATGTTTTTCCAGCACGTCTTACAGGAGCTGTCTATAGGGACTTTTATTTCGAGCACACTTTCAAACCTGCTAGAGGAGGTACCCCTGCTAATACGAAGACACATGATGGAGCTCCCGCACATTTTAGTCATATTGTTCGTGATGCACTGGCTGACATCTACCATGAAAATGGATAGGTAAGGAAGGACCGGGTTCTATGGTCTGCACGTTCCTCTGATCTCAATCTTTTGGATTTTTATCTCTGGAGCCACCTAAAACATTTGGTTTATGCAGCAGACATTAATAATGCAGAGACGTTTTGTTATTCCACCTGGAAAACTTCAATAACTGTTATCAGCTAGTTTCTTTTAAACCTTTAATATCATTGACCGATCAGTAGAAGATTGTTTTATGCTGGAAGCCTATTGAATGCTTTTGAGTGAATAATCTTAGACGTTTCCTTTTCGATTCACGATTGTCGTAAGACTTTACAGAGCGTTTAGAATATAAAGAGAATTCGCTAATAATGGCTTTCAAGATCAGCACTTTGGACATTCCAATATAGAAAATGTTTTTCAAATGATTTATTTAGTAAATTTGCTTCGTCTGGCACAAGGCCGAATAGTGGAAATAGGTTTTTGGTAGAACACATTTCCAAGTAAGAAGAGTCTTGAAAGATCATCATTCGAAATTCACCGCTTTAAAAGCCCACACCACTGACGGGCGTGGTAAATCAGAAACTACCTGAGTTAATTATTTCAAACCGAAAACCGAGCGTCAAGCTTGAAAATGTCAGGAGATTCTATTCTTATTTAAAAGTTGCTGATTTCTGAGTACATCTAAATGTAATGGCATTTCGAAATTTGAAATGGTTCTTGGACGCCCATTCTTTTAATATGGCGGCGACTGACTTGTTGCTGTAGTCTTTAAGATATCAACGATAGAGCGAAACGCCCCATTTCAACTTCAAGTCAGTCATTGAAAAATTCAACCGACTTTTACGTGTTTTGTAAAAAAATAAAATGTAAATGTCAAATTGTTATTTTAACTTTATCCGGCTATATTTTCCTCCAAATAAAAATGAGAATAATTTTTGCTTAATATCAGTCAAAAGGCTGATATTTATAAGTTTAGTTTAGGCTGCCACAAGCCATACCAGGGATGCATCCAGTGAAGATCGAACTCTTAAAACTAGTAAAAGCTTTGCGGCCTAACCTGATGTCTCTTTGCGGTAAGTAGTTAAACTTATATGAACTTTAAAAGAGCATTTTTAATTTAAAACAACACCAAAACAAAGCTCTTTATTGTATTTCCTTGCACATTTACTTTTACTGGCCTCTAGCCAGATTTGAGTTTACCAATTGACGTCTGGCTAGAGGCAGAAAAAAAGGAGCAAGGGGAACTGTACTGACATAGGCTACCTATTTCTTTTCGTATTTATCCGTTGACGAACTAATAAAATACAGTGGAAAAACTAAAAATGTCATGGTGTCATTGTCGATTTGGATTCGTAGAAAACTCACTGTTCTATTCTAACTGAATGGAAGACTTTGTTACAAATATTTTCAAGTCGAATGAAATTCTTGCACAATCTTTCAAATCTGGAAAGGAACAGGCAACAGTAAAAAAAATTCTCTTCAAGTACCAAAGATATCCAATGCTAAAGTTACAATGGACATAGACACTGAAAGACAATAATCATATGGGGTGTGGTGGTTTGATTGATGTAACAGCTTTTTACTGTTACAAAAGCATAGACAAGTAGTTACGGAAGAATGCTTTGCTCAAGATCTCACTCACCCACAGTGATATCTAATGATGGGTTAGAACAAGGAGAGAAGTGAATTCATGCCTTTTCTGAGAGAATTAATGTTAAGTGAACCGAAGCATCTTTTATTGAAATTCAATGATTTAGTAATTTGCGTTTCTTCACCTCGCACTCTACTCTCCATAGGATGACATTAGAGAATGTTACTTAAGTTTCCGCTTTGTCCGATCTACCGCTGATGTGCTCATGGCCATAACTGAATTTGTTTACCAAGCACTTCACAATAACGGAGAATCTCGAGTTGTGGCTTTAGATATCTCTAAAGCGTTTGATAGAGTTTGGCATGCGGGCCTCCTTCGTAAGCTTCGGTTATACAGAATTAAAGGACGATTATTTAACTTAATACAATCATTCCTGTCAAACCGTATGGTGAAAGTCGTCTTAAACGGATTTTCCTCCAATTCCTTTCTCACGAACGCAGGTGTTTCCCAAAGCTCTATCCTGGGTCCTACATTTTTTCTGGTTTTCATTAACGATCATCCTGATGTTATCAGTTCCCAAGTAGATATCTATGCCGACGACACCACTATTTACTCCTGTCTCAATAATAAATCTGGTATCGCTGACAAAAATAACCTGGTCTTGTTCTCGAAAAGGACCTCCGATCTGTGGTTGACTGGGGCAAGAAATGGTTGGTAAACTCAATAAGAAAACTGCTCTCTTTTACCCACCAGAGAGAACCCTCCCTGATTCCCATTAGAATGTCTAATGCTCAACTTCACGAGAGCACCTCTTTGTGACTGCTTGGTCTCGCACTGTCTGCTGACCTGAGATGAGGCAAATACATTGAATCAATAACTTCATCTACAGCAAGGAAAGTGGGTTCTATGTGTCGTGCCAGAAAGTTTTTCTCACCTGAGACCATCCTTCAAATCTATAAATCAACCATTCGCCCTTGCATAGAATACTGCTGCCATATATGGTCTGAAGCCCCCGATGTTCTTCTCAAGGTCCTCGACAAAAAACCAGAGACGAATATGCAAAATGATTCGTCCTGATCTGGTATCGCGTCTACATTCTCTTTCTCACAGACGTGCCGTCGCTTCCTTCTGTCTTTTCTATAAATACTTTCAAGTTAACTGCTCTGACGAGCTACTTTCGCTGGTTCCCAAACTGCATCAATTTAAGCGTACTACTAGATTGGCATCTCACTTCCACCTTTCACTGTCGAAACTGTTAAATGTAACCGTCTCTTTTACTCCAATAGCTTCATGTCTCGCACTTCCTGTCTGTGGAACTCGCTTTCTCTTACTTGCTTCCCTATAATCTTCAAATATTCAAATGCAATGTTAATCAACATCTTCAGATGCCTTGATCTAATTCCCCGTCCTCCTCTTTATCCTTTCCTCTATCACGCCTCTTTACTCTTGCTCCCCCTCTCTGTAACCCCTTGCGTGCTAGTGGCACTCCCACCTTGCTTGGGGTGAAATGCTTAAAAAAATTAATGGACGCCTACCGAAAGACTAGCAAAACTTGTATCATTGGTTATGTATTGAATTTTCTCTTTCATGGATGGATCTATTTTTGTAGCCTTGTGCCAAATTAAACTTAGGAAATAAGCATTTTTTAGTTTTTGAATCGCATTTTACTGAGTTTAAATTAACACGGCAACAACACAATCGAATTCGGAAGATTGTACTGCTTCATTTATTCCTTTAAAGTTAGCATTCAAAATCTTTGACCCGAGTCCGAACATTGATCATTAACATCAAAATAAGAAATACAAAGCAACTTATTAAATTGCATCTAAGCTTTCTGTTCTTAAATTCATCGATTTTTCTCAACTTTTATTAATTTACACTTGCTGATCGATCTTATTTGAATATATCCAAAATTTGGTATAAAATGTAGTTTTACAAAACAACGGAGAAGACGAAACCGTTTTCTCTATTTAAGAAGCAATTTTGGAATTTGTTTTTTAATAGATGCTAAGAAACAAAACAGATGAGACAATTTTTACTGTCTGTTGTTTCAATAAAATCGTACAAAAAGGAAAACTGTATTTCTAAGGAGAGTTAAAAATATTTGAGGAGATAAAAAATGTTTGTTCGGTTTTTTTATTAAAACAAAAGGTATTTTTTTTCGACAAACTTTATTCAAAAAACATTTTACAGTTTTGTTCGAATGTTTCGTTTGTTTTGTAATCTATTATCTTTCAAGTCCTCTACAATTCCATCCTCTTGGGATTTCTCAGCAAAGAACTACTCTAAGAACCTTTTTGCCGTTCTGATCTTTTTTACATGAAGAGCATTCTTTAAAAACTGGAATAGACTACAATATCTCTTGGATATGACGAGTAAAGGAATTCTTCTTAGCTAAATATGCTTTATCACCAAACAAACATGTAGTTTAGTATTATTCCAATAAAACATCACACTTCTTTCTGTTAAACTCATTCAAGAGAAAAATCTTTTTCTCAATGACTGCCTTCAGTTTGTCTAAATAAGAGCAATTCTTGTTCGAATCGATTGTTTATTAATCCGGAAGGAGCCCAACGTAGAGGAATCTTTTTTACAATCCTGCCATATATGATCATCTTCTCTAGATGAAGACCAGCCTTTGGCAGTGTGTTTCATTTTGCTTGCCTCATGATCACTTCTTTTCAATGCTGCTGTAAAATATTTAATTTTTATTGTCTGTTTCAATTTGTTTAAAAATTTTATATCTTTTTAGAGACTCGCATGCAGAAATAAAGATTGGTAGTTTTTTTCGCTTATGTGGAAGCCACACATCAAAGCGACTAAGGTAATCAAACCGAAACAAATGATTTTTAATGCTCAATTTGAATATTTGAGTAGGTTGGTTATCTTCTGCATTGTCAACCTCAATAGATCTACCCAACCATGGAGCATAGAAATTAGAAATCTATAGCGTGAAACTCCGCAAATCACATGCTTTTTTTTTTCTAAATTGAGTCATATTTTTATTTTTCTTAAAATGGAAAAGCAGAATATTTTTCTTAAAATGATTTTTCTGAAGATTAGCGTTTTGTCTAAAAATCACTTAATATCGACGACATAAGCGAATTTTGTTCTCATCTGGTCGCGATACTTACGTGGTATCCAGACTTGGCAAGGTTCAGAGGAATTGAAAGGCGGGCCTTGATCCATACGTTGCCTTGGTTACCATAAGCCCGCCAAACAGCTTGTGGATCAGATTCAGATGCCGACTATAAAAAAAAATATATGAAAAAAAAAAAACGAATTGAAATTTTACAAAGTTGGAAGAAAATAACTCCGGTTTAAAAAATGTGAAGGGTGATACAACTTTGCAGATAAAATTGCTTTTCATCAAATTGTAAAAAAAAAAAAAAATAAACAATAAAAATAGATGAGAAAATTAATAAATCTAAAATAAATTCACGGTGATAATAATTATTCAGCAAGATAATCTTTGAATTAATTAAATTTTAATTTTAGGCTCAAGGCATTTAAGATGGTAATATTTTATAACAGCTTTTGCATTTGGATTCAGGACGGAGAAAATTTAAACAGTAAGAGGTTAAGAAAAGATATTGCTGCTGCTGTGAAGATATTTTATACAAGAACAGGATCAATATTTATGATAATTTTTTATTAATGATACGATTGAATATCCAATTGATACATTGTTACTATTTAGTAATTTTAAATACGGGCATTTTTGACAGCGAAAGATTTTAAAAAATCAATTCGGTTACTAAAGTTTTTCTAGGTTGTATTTTCATAGTAATTCTGTTGATTTTCCATTTAACTTGATCAATGCGATATATTTGTTTTTTGTTAGTTGCTATAAGTATTCAGTCGCCGACAATTATGTTTTCAGTCTTTTGTTTCGCCACAAACTGGTTTGTAAATTTAAAGACTAAAAAAAAAATCTTTTCTACATAGAGAAGATATTTTTATTTGTTCATATATTCAAAAGACTATACAATTCATAAAAATCTTTTCAAAGATTTTTTTTTGGACTGCAAATTGTAAAGCGGCTCTTATTTTATGAAAATGTACTTTTTCCTTTTCTCCATTTAAAATAACTTCAATCAGGTTTTTGTTAATACATCGTAAGCAAAACATCCTGGGTGAGGCAAACGAAGAAATGTCAATACATTTCAAGCTGTCATTTAAATGCTTACAACTAATATCAACCAAAAAATGTCTTTTTAAGCTACCATATTTGGTGGCATCTAATATCTCCCAATCTATACATTAATATGGCGCAAAAATATCTCCCAGGTCTTATATGCGATATTACCGTAACTGGTCGGTTTCTTATTTCTCCAGGGGCCACAACCTTCCATAATACTCTGCAGTATTAAATCTAAGTCGGAAGGCTTTTAGATGTTACTCAGATCTCGTTAAAAAATGGTTTCATGTTTAAATACTAGTAAAACAATACGTATTGATCTTTTCAATTTAAACATCTGGTCTCTCTGACAGATGTTGGTACGATCTATCAGCGATTATAATATTATATGTATTACAGGAAACCAGATTTAGAATTATTTCATATTACAATAAGATTTTAAACTTACAGTTCGAGTTGTTTTCTGTTTGAACTACTTTCAGTATATTAATGCAGTGGATGCAGGGTACTATTTGATTATATATATATATATATATATATATATATATATATATATATATATATATATATATATATATCGGGTGTAACAGCAAAATTGTACAAATCGTGTAACGGCATAATTCTCCATCCCACAAATTGATATCTAAAATCTATGGTGAGAGGAAAAAGATCATTCAGGCCTTCAGTAATGGTTCCAAAATTCATACTCTGGCTTCCATCTTCAAAGTCTATACAAGAGTCATCAAGAGAACGGTGAATAAGTTTAAAAAAGAGGAAACGGTAGATCAGTATGTCATAACAACAAGAGGGATCAACATTTCAACTTAGAGCTAAAGAGATCAATAAGAAAAGATCCAGCTCAATTCATAAGACGTTTGGCACGTGAGAGAGGAGTTTCACCTATGACAGTCCAAAGAGCAGTGAATAAAAGACTTGAAAATGAAATCGTACATGAAACCTGTGAAGTACCTTGTTACTCCAGGACAGAAAGAAGGTTAGAGAGGGCGAAGATAACCTTGAATAAGTTGGGAAATGATCCTGGAATAATACATACATACATATATATATATATATATATATATATATATATGTATTTATTTGAACTTTATTTCAATTTTTCATGAGCTTCTGATCGTTACCTATGATTAAATAATGATAAACATGTCATTTTCGTTTATAATCGAATTCATTACAATTCTTTTGTTAAGCTTGGAGAGTAATTATATATTCTTATTGCACAAAGTAGATTCCAATAGTGCTATAAAACTTCGGAAAATTCCAGTAATATCTTTAATCATTTCTAAGATACAACGGTTCAAAGCTGAATCTAACAAATGGGCAATTTTGCTTTTACACGATTTGGACAATTTTACTGTTACACCTATATATATATATATATATATATATATATATATATATAAAGGGTGTCCCAAAATAATGTATACACTTTTTGAATCGTTATAACTTATTCAATTTATGTATTTTGACTTGTAAATAAGATTAATATAAGAGAAAGAAAACACATTTAAAGAATTTGAGAGTAAAATATAGAAAAAAACATAGAAAATTAACTTTAATAAGATAAAAGCTACTTGGGGCAATGGCATAATGTTCATATAATGATGAGTTCACATCAAGTGCTCAAACTGGTTGCCGTTCAGTTCAATACACTTTTCATATCTTGAAGAAATAGACCTCCAAACGTCCAGTATCAATTCCTCTGGTATTTGAGCACATTCTTCTTCAATTGCTACTCTCATTTCAGCAATTGTTTCAGTTTTCCTGCTGTAAACTTTGTCTTTTAGAAACCCCCACAAAAAAAAATCCAAGGGTGTCAAATCTGGTAATCGAGGTGGGTATTCAACTGGCCCCTTCTTCCAATCCACCCGTTTTGCATATTTTCATCCATTTGGGACACCCTGTATATATATATATATATATATATATATATATAAAATGTGTATTTTATACACCAACAAAAACATTTCCACTTCATGATTAAGTCCTTTGATATGGCGGAATGAATTGCGTGTTCCCATGACTCGTAGAACCAAGATGTCGAGAGTTAATCTCCTGGCGGGTCCAACCTAACCAGACAGGTCAATGTGTAAGAGCCAAACAATACTTTAGTAACCTACAGGAGTAAACCTCAAACCCGGAGCGTGTAGCAAATCTCTAGTTGCATATATAGGCAAGCATTAACAGACTGATACATTGGTTTGATATGCAGTCATCAGTGGCCTATGATAAGATCGTACTGTACCAACCGTCCAAGACTACCTGCCTAGAAACTCAACATTCAAATACAACGGACTGACCTGAACATGAACACCGACAACTGGTACCTTCAGGAAATACGTAACTATTTGTAGACATGAATGACGCTACTTGATGTATAAATTAGTTCTGCCGAAAAGAAAATAGATCAACTTACTTGTGTATAAACGTTTAATGTTCCCATGTGACGGCCATACATATGGTAATAGAATTGAACACATTGTGCAGTGAAACTTTTGTAAGTGGGCGATTTAAGTACAGCTGTATGTCCTCGTCCTTTGGCTGAAGCTTCTAAATGCATGAAATGTCCTGGCGAGAGATGCAATAAAAGAACATTCAACATTCATAGAATATCTGCTGACAAAAGTACGATTTATGCAAAAAATAAAATAAATATTTTTTCTCGATGGAAAAAAATCGATTTCGATGGAAACTATACAATATTTTCAAATGATGAAAATTAAAATGAAATAAAGTCACTGTGCAACGTCAATTTGGATGCAATTACTTCGAGTATCATAGATTTAATCAAAGTTGCATAGGTGAAGTCTACTTTAGTAAAATTGTATCAATTTTACCAAAATAGTTTAAAATTAATTATTGGTAGGTTACTATAGAATCAGTGGAATTTTCGGAGCTAAATTTAGTTATTAAAATTCATCAAAACACTTCAAAATTAAAAAAAATTAGAGTCATTAGTTTTTATTTTAATTTCAAATGATTTTATAGAATAAAAAGGTTTTCTTAAAATTATTTTACTTATTGGAGTAATTAAAATAGGTACTTTATTTATGGATTACATTTATTCATGTAATTGTCTGGGTGATCAAAGAGGAAAAGTACTCCAGCAAACAATGTCTTTTTTCATTTTATGATATTCTGATTGAAGCTTTATATATTTATTTCTTTTAGGAGATGAGATGGAGAAAATCTGCCCGATTTCATACAATGATTATTGTATACTTGGGAAGTAACCATTTTTTTATACATGCTTCACTTAATATGTTGGAGTTTTTTTTTTAAAGACAGCTAACTCGTCACTCCTGTTTTCAAATAGGGTAAGGATGAGATTTAACTTTAATTGTTTTATATAAAGAACCTCAATTATCTTAAGTCTTCTAAAATTGAATTTTTTTAGAATGATAGTGTTATCAAGAATTTCAGGCGTTTGTGTGTCGGTGTCTAGGTGCTTTTTGTGATCACAAGTGGTCTGTCATTCTTCTACTGATTGTCATCGACGTATATTCTATGTAGATTATTACAAGAGACAAAGTCTTGTAATGAGCAGCGAAATTTATTTATGGCCTTAAGTTTAAATTTGATAAGCCTACTGTTATTGATAATTATGAGGTTGGTATTTTAAAGATTTTCTATAGTATATTATAAGCTTTACACGTTGGCCGAGGTCAACGAGTGAAATGTATTGTTTAATGATGCGTTGAATGACGAATTAATCTTGTTCTTAATTTTTGTGCATCTGGTTGCAGTAAAAGATATCAATGCTATACTTTTTTTTAAAATTGGTGCCTTTTAATTTTTGTACGACTAATTTTATTTGGTTATCGATAACATATTTGGGAAAATTATTATTAACCAATGACGTTTTATATATTTGACTTCACTAAAAATATTTTCCGGAAAGAGGAGGTTGGGGTACTTTAGTTAGGATATTTTTATTATTGCTAATTTATATCTTACGGCTACTTACGATGATATAAACGATAGATTTTGTTTAAAAATTTGTGAAACATAGTAGGGGGTGCTGAAAAGTGCCGAAAAACTGATTTTTAAGATTTTGTTGATCAAGCTGAGAACATTTCAACACTCGCCACTGTTGAAAATTATCATGGAGATGCCGGGTGGGTGTGGGTTGTGGTAGTTGATACAGAATCGGCGAAGCTAGTTTGAATTCAAGTCGAAACTATGTTCACATGAAACCTGTTCTCATTGCTTCCTGCTCTACTGTAAAATATCTTGTAAAAATGTCTCATCACTGGTAAGCTACGACGACTAACGGAGAAGAAAGTGAGTGATTTAGAATAGACAATACAATACTCTCTCATAAGTGCTTTACCTGCCCTAGTAGTGACAGGTGAAAGCTATAAAATCTGTAATCAACCTTGACAGGCTATTGTTAGTTTACAAGATCAAAGGTCAGGAAAGTGATATCATGGTTTTCAGCTTATTCTTTTTTGATTCCAAAAGGTTTATTGCATTCTTCTGTTTATAGATACACAATTATTAATGCCACCCAAGGAGCGGGAGTTAACAAACTTGTCATTTCGGAAATGATCTTTACCAGGTACTCTACCACTGTTGCCTTTTTGTCTAAAGCTAAACTGCATATTTAGGGCTACGATCAAATCACGTTGAAATTACCTTGATCAATGTTTACGATTTAAAAATCACACACCATCTTTTATCCGCGGAATCTAGAAAGTTGGAATGACTCATGTATATTTTGCACTATTTCATTTGTTTCCTGAATGAGAAAATATTTTGTTGGCTTTCGGGATTTTACATATCGTCTTCAATCTTTCATAACACCTTCAGAACAAAAAGATGTACTTGTTGCATAGTATCAGTAACAAGAAACAATCATAGGCTTTAAAGCACTCTTTATTTTCAACCATTATCAGAATATTTTACAATTGGACAAAGTGCAAGGATGTGTAGATTTATGTCTTTCTCATAGGGATTGATACGACATTAACATGCTCCAACTGGGATTCGTCTTCCGTTGATTGATTTTCCTATTATGTGCCAGTGACCGTTTCGCCAATACTGAGAGAATGTCATTTCAATAAGATTCCTCTTTCCCCTTAAAATGAAATATCTAACTTGCATATTAAAAGCTAATAAACAATTTTCAATTTCATTTCAAGTTGTTACACTTTAATTTTTCCCCCAGAAAGAATTGACTTTTAAAACTAAATTCATTATGTTAATTTTTTGGTTTTCTTATAAATAATTATTTTTAAAAACATCCATATATTAATACTATAATATCTACGTACAATCCTATATAAGGTGTGCATCACGTCCCAAAAGAAAAAAAAATAAAATAAAGCCTCACTCACTCTAAAAGATCAAAGGGGTAAAGGAGTGATACGACAAAACAACAACCTTTTCTCTTTTTATCCCTTCCCACTTTCTTTAGATCTGATTTTCTTTGCATTTTTCTCTAGATTTCTTGTTTAACTTTTTTTCTTCACATTTTCTTTTTTCTCTTTCTTTTCCTCATTTTATTTTCTTTTGTATAAATGAACAGCTAGCAGGTTTGTGGTTCCATATAGCCTCTCAGAAGTTTGGTTCTCGTGATTACCAGCAGCTCTGTAAGAATTTATTAAACTAGGGCAAACCCTACTAGTGATAAAGAAGAATGCTTTGCTCGTAAATTCTATTCCAATTTCTTTCCATCTTTGCCTGAATTGCCAGCTAGAACGGATTCTTTACTGAATGACATGCATATAACTCCATTCATGGTTTCTACTATCATCTCCAAATGAGATCCCTACAAGACATGCGGATTTGACGGTATCCCTGCAATTATCCTAAGGAAATGAACTTCTGAACTGGTTCCTGTTTTCTCCAACTCTACAACAAATACCCTTCTGCTTCTGGCTTTCCAGTATATTGGAAATCCTCTTCTGTGGTTCCTGTCTTTAGGAACTCTGGTGAACTTTCTGATCTCTCGAATTATCGCGTTTTACCTTTGGCATTCTGAACTTTTTTGGTAAAGTACTAGCGACACTAATCAAATCTGGATTGGTTAAGCATGTCACTTCACACGGAAAACAATATGGCTTTCACTTCTCTAGATTAACCCCGGATATTACTGAATTTGTCTACCAAGCTTTTGATAAGAACGGCGAGGCTTAGGCTTTAAATATTACATCTGCCAGGGTTTGGCATTCTGAACTTCTTCCCAAGCTGAAGGGATATGGAGTCTCTGGAGGAATATTTGACTTAATCGTATCTTGTACGTTTAAAACTACCAAAAATCTGTGCCTTGGATATTGTTGACATATTTGGTCCGCTGCTCTTGCTGTATATCTCGAGAGTCTCGACAAAATCCAAAGAAAGATCTGTAATATTATTGGTTCTGGCTTGGCATCTCGACTTCAGTCACTTTCCATCTGCTATGATATGACTTCATTATCTTTTTTATATCTATTTTCATGACACTTTTTCTAATGAGCTCTATTCCTTGCTTTCTCGACCGCCTGAATTTGAGCGTACTATTAGATTGTCAAATAGATTTCATCGTTTTACTGTTGAAATAGTTAGATATAACCATAAGTTCTCTTCTAATAGTTTCTATCCTCGCACTTCTTACCTGTGGAATTCTTCCGGTTTATTGTTTCTCTGTCACCTACAATCTTCCAAAATTTAAATGCAACATCAATCGACATCTTCTGTCTTCCTGAATCTTGCCCTTTTTTTGTCCTGTCTCCTCACTAACAAATTTGCCTTGATAAAGTCCCCCAGAGGATGAAATGCGCCGGTGAAGATAAGTTTTCCTTTTGTCTTTATCCACATTTTGCATATATGCACTATCTGAAATTTTTACACACACACACACACACGCACATATATATATATATGTAAAATAATAAAAATATAATTTTAAGGTATGTTACATTTATGGGTAAAAGTGCTCAATAACAGGGATAGAACTTATGTAAATATAAAAATGGATACTGAGGTCAACATCGAGCTGTGACAGTGTGTTTCATGCTTGAACGAAATCCTTCAGTTATATGTGTTGTGCTTTGGCTCGACTATTTATATATATTGGTCAATGGTGAATTACGGTTAGCAAGGTCGTTTGTATTATCCTAAGAGTTATTCAGTAGGAGGTAACGGTTATATTTCAACTTATTCTAGAAGCTCTTGAGTGGATCCGAATGTGGTTATTTGTAGTTTTCAGTTTTTGGAAAGAAAAAATCTTCAAGACAATTTCAAATCAGTTTTTGATATTCTATTTTACTCACGCGGTGAAACTACAAAACTAATAAGCACATTTCCAAACATCTCATACACCTGACAAAAGATATTTGCTCCTTTTAAAATCTCCCAAAATTATTACAACATGAAACCCTAATTCACAGTGGGTGTTCACTGCAAAATGAGCACTTATTAAATATCATCTTAAAAAGCGACATTTTTCATGCGGACATTAAAACTAAAATTATGTTATCTGATTGTATAAAAGGCCTAAAGGGATGAGTCAGTGAGTAATTTTAGTTTAAAACTGGTTATAGTTGCCGTATGAGTAGACAAAGATTTCCCCTTTTTAGTGATAAAATGTTTCATTGTTGCGATCATGCAACCAAATACGACATTCAATCTCAAAAGTAATGTTCTTTCCATAAAATTGTGAATGCGTGTGTGTACATTGTAGACTTTTTTTTTTTGAAAGAAGAAGACCTGTTATCATTTCAAATGCTTTTAAAGTGTAAAGAATTCTTAACATAAAAAACATATTTTAAACCAGGTAGCTTACCCTCTTCCGATTTGCAGGTATGGTCAGCTTCTGGTCCAGTGTCTGCTGACGGAGTGTTTCCCTTGGCGCGAGTCCAGTCAAAGTTATCAGTCTCATTTACCTGTGTAAATCCGCAAATATTATCGTCTTCGAAGCCGCAGAAGGACTGCGTTTTGGCTGCAAGGATAGAAAAAACAGTGAAAACCGCTTTAAATATTTAAAACGTATTTCTAATAAGAAAATCGTTTCTTATTTAAATGCTGTATGTAATAGTCGTTTTTGATGTTTTTCAACTTAAAAAAAAACAAACAAAAATAAAACTGACTTACGGACATATAGCGTTTACCGTACAATAACTGAAGTTAAGCAATGTCGAGCCTGGTCAGTACTTAGATGAGTCACTGCCCCAGAATAGCAAGTGGTGTAAGAGTTGGATGTGCAGGTGGTGTGATGGATAATGGCTCGGAATTGTTAATTGGAGAGCCGAGTCCCAATTTCAGTTGGGTTCGTTATATTCACTTACACGTAAATACACTTGGGAAAGATATGGATCCACCGCTTTCATCCCCAGCTATGGGTTAATTAGTAATACTTGTACCATAAATCATTATTATCTTAAAAAATAATTCTTAAAATCTAAAAATATTTTCTGGCGTTAAATAACCTGTAAAGGGCTGTAGAAAAAAAAAAGCAATAAATAAAAGCAAAGAATTTGTTCCACTTCCTTTATTATAACGCCACACAATTTATATAAATTACGGAATCCAATGAAATATCCACATTCAAACAAATAACTCTAAAATATCAACAGCACTGTTTCTTTATTACTATTAATTATTACCATGTTTCACTTTGGATGAAACATTGTCAATTATTATGATTTATTTTAGACTTGTATTTACTTTCATAAAGGGATGTGAGTTTGAATTTTACCGAGTCCCTATACTTTATTCCCGATCAACGCTGTCTATTCACTGACGAAGATCAACGGTCACAAACTGAGTAAAGTAAAACAACTAAAAATACTTAAAATGAAAGTAAATACTAGTTAAATTTAGCAAATCATATAATAATTATCAATACGTATTTATTTATGCTTCCTGTTCCATCTGTAGCAGGAAGGGAGGTAAGTCTACTTAATTTAGTAAATTTATGAATGTTTACTCCCCCTAGTCATTTTAATAATCTATACAAATAAAATATTTATCCGTATTTAGAAAAAATTAGTTCCTGACAAAATGAACCGGTTAATTAATCAGTTCCTTTTTTCCTTATGTCTCTTAGATTGCAGTCTTTTTTGTTCAAGCCTTTAATGCGAAACACTCAGAAGCCATTGTCTATTAAGTGATTGTTTTACATCAAATTGGTCTTGAAATAGGCTTTGACGTTGCTGTCTTTGCCATTCTGCTACTAAACTTTTTCTTCTGATAAATATTTCCATTTTACTGTTATATTAAACACTGAATTTTTAACATGAAAAATATATGGAACAAAAAGTGATTTACGATAATTATGATTCATTGATTACCACCAGTGTAATTAATAAATCATAGATACCATTGAACGTCTAAAAATATAAAGGGACATTTTCTAACTATTGTTGCTATTTTTGGCGGCACAGGTACACTAATTATTAATAATAATGGTTAAATAAAAGATAAGTTTTAAAAACAACGAATTCTATTTAATGATGTAGGTTCATGTTTATATTGAAGCAAAAATTTCGGAAATAAAATTAAATGTATGTAATTTTGAGAACACGATTCTAGCTTTGGTTAACATTGTTAGCGTTGCGTACCAATTTATTAGTGACTACGATTCTCACTGGACAGCCCACTGTTTCCGTCCTGTGCCGAGTTACGTTAAGCCTATTAAATATGCATTGAATCAATGAGAGTGGTTTTGCAATCCGTGCACACATCGACCAGCACAGCATGAACGACCAAAATATAACTATCAACATTAGACAAATATTAGTGGATAACAACAAAATACTCATGAGCACACAATGCAAAGAAAGTTTCAAAAGAAGATATCATTATGCAAAATAAAGATCACACATTAAGTAAAATATCATTTCCCACAGAAAATGATGTCTTGAATTACATATGATGTAATTAATGTGTTCACACCCGCACACACATACATATATACACACGTGCACGCGCACAAATAGAAATAGCATTCTTTATGGTGCAGCTTCGTTCCCAATAACCGTTACATATAACATGGTGAATTATTTAAAAACTTCCAGATTTCCAAAGAATATCGGGATGTCGACAAAGGAATTCTGTCTACCATACTGGTTCTTGAAAATGACTGAGACGATGGAAGGACTTGAGCAAAACAATAACACAATATGAACTTTGGTCAAGGGGACTAATATCTGGGGAGTGATGAGTCAACTTCATACACGGTCACGTCTTCTAATTCTGGTAGGGAAATTGTCATTCAGAGAGTCTCTTACCGTCATAGAACCACTCAAGAAGGCCTTCATCTAACCTTTCAATTTGTGGCATTAACTTATCTCACCATGTCTCATGTATGTCTCACCAGTTATGTGACCACTAAAGAGAAACAGTCCCAACATTCATGGGCTTTCCACAATCAACACCATAATCGGTTATGTCCCTTGCTGTTTGGAAGGGTCCATCCAAAGTGAACTGTTTTGCGACCAATACCAAACATTCCGTCGGTTAGCCTCAGCATTCACATAAAACAAGGCTTGGTCATTGAACAACACAGTATACTGCGAAGCTGTCGTTTTTCATCTAAATTCTGGTATCAAGAATTTATGGTTCCCATATATATATATATATATATATATATATGTGTGTGTGTGTGTATGTATATACGTATGACAGTACACTTATTTCTGTAGGTTTTCTTTTTATCCTGTTTTCCTTCGCCTAATATATAATGAAACTATTATCAACTTATATGATTAAAATGTGTTTTTATTGATATTTGTGGTTTTGGAATTTTCGTTTTAATATATTAAATAATATTATTTATCTTTGTATATTTGCTCGCTTAAGTTATATTTTAATAAGTGGCTAGCATTTGTTTAATGATACTTTCAGTCTTAAATATTTATTGGTTGTGGTATCTGATTGTCAAGGTCAATGTCTGTGGATGTGTGTACGTGTATTTATAGGTGTCTATATGTATGGAGCGTGCATTCACTTTTAATTGTGTGTGTGTGTGTGTGTGTGTGTGTGTTGGGTTCCCCGTTTCCTTTTTTAATAAAGGGCTGTGGGGATGTTCCTGTTTCGTCGCTTTTTTGTGTGTATATATATCTAAATATGTCTGGGTGCTTATGTATTATAATCTGATTGTGTTTGTGTTGTTTTGCGCGTGAATTTAAGACCCCATTCACACACTTGGGATTAAAATATATATACATGTATTGTCAGATGACCGGATATTGTAGCGTCTGTTCTAACGTAATTTCAAAAAGAAATAAATTGAATAACATATGTATTTTTTCTTTTCTCCTCAGTAATTTTATAGTTTTTAAATTTAATAGTAATTAAATGTTGATTTTAAAATTGGCAGTTTTTAATTTTAATATCAAATTTTATCACATAATTTAATAATTATTGGTTAGAATAAATTCTTTTTTAATATTACCGTATAAAGATCTGAATAGCTATTATAACATGATTTTGTTGTCAAGCTTTTGAATCTTCCTATACTTGGGTTTTGATTGGTCAATCTAGCTTTTGTAACAATGTTTTCCCCTAGCGAAGGATCGTTAATTAATTTGAAACTTTTAAAACCATTTATTTTATATTCAACATCATCACTTGATAAGACACCGAGGGTGCTGAAACAAAATGGCTATTTTTGTAGTGATTTTATAACATATTTATGTTATAAATTTTTTTTTCTTTTATAAAAGATAATTTTGTATATATGTGTGTGTGTTTGTGTGCGTGCGCGCCCACTTGAGTGCATAAATCCCAAAATGTGATTTATGCACTTAAGTGCACAAAATGCAACAAATCCTATATAGGTATCATCCAAGCACTAAACAGCAAAGATTCCCTTCACACAAGCAACATTAAATTACCAGACAACAGGAAACTCTTTGCATCACAACACATGTACAAATGGAATCAAGGTAAATTTAAAATTATGCCAATATATCAAACAGACAATTACTCTTACCTAGAAATACAAGAAAAAACTTCATAGACAAATTTAAACGAGCACTAAACAAATCATAACCTCACACACATAAACACACACCATATACACATAGTGGCCAAACACTCTAGTTAAAACATACACACACCATACAAAATACAAAATACATATAGATATCTTTATAGATATCTATATAATATATATATATATATATATATATATATATATATATATATATATATATATACTTTACAATTGGAATTAAGATACCTTTAGTTGATGACCATTTTAACGTACGAATTTTAAAATTAAAATTCGCAGGATTTTTCAAACTGTTTATGGTATCAGTTTATAGTGGGATACTGGATTGTTGGGGAAAAAAGAGGGAGGACCTTAAAAGGGACATGCTGGGAGATATGGCAGAATAAGGCACCGTTAGAGGAATTATATAATTGAGGTAGGAGGACCTGGTAGGGGGAGAGAAGGGAAAACCGATGAGCTGACCTACGTCGTAATGGTAACACGGCCAAAGTTTGATTCAATGGGAATCCACGGAAATTAACGAAAACGTGAAAAAAACAATCAAGATTTAACTTTAGTAAGAGGAAAGGGAGATAATTCAGCATTATTGGTGTATTAAACTCGTCCATATATCAGAGCTTAAAGTTTGGGGGGAGTGTTTTCAAAGATTTAGAGGGAGCTTGGATACATATGTGTACCCATGCGTTCGTTTACGTTAAAAATATCTACTCGCATAGCCATCTATTCTTACATACACTTAGATACCTACATCCATGCACATACATACATATGCTAGCCGACATCTATCTACAAATACCCTATGTTAGGATGAAATAAAAGGAGTTTAGTTAAGTTAAAAAAATATGGGCATTAACTTAACGTTAATTATAAGACAAAAATGAGAACAAATTAAAATTATTGTGAGGTACGAATGTATAATCATTCATTATTTTCCTAGTTACATATTCCTAGCTCACTTCTTTAAGCCGTAATCTAATATGTATCGGTAAGTGACCATTTAAAAACTACCTATTAAATTCATATATTAATGTATGTAGGATATCTTGAATATTAGAAAGCATTATGATAGTAGAATTGATTACTTAACATTAGATATACTGAATGGTATATAATAATTATATATAGGATATAAGACTTACATATGTGTGTGTGTGTGTGTCTATCTCCACACGCATACCTACACATACATACATACACCCATATATACCCCATCACGCACATATATACACATATGTATCCAAATTTAAGAACTCATTTAATCTTCCGAAAAATGTTAGTACATGATATTTAATTGATCAACCAATACACGGAACAATAATGATAGTTAGTCGTTGCTTCGAAATTTTTCATGCAACAAAAACAGACTAACTCGTGTATACGAGACGCAGAAGTCAAAATCGCGTCGCAGCTCGTGACGTCACACATAATCACGCGAGAGTGAAAACGAAAAGTATTAAGTATGGGAAGCCGTGGTATAAACCAATGGCTTCTGTTATCAATTATAGTCATTTAAGAATGGTTGGTTTGGTTGATATATAGAATAGTAATTGTCATCTTTGATAATGGCTTATGTAAGCCGAAAGCTTAGATTGGATTTAAACATGTATCAATATGGCGATTTCCTTTCGTCTTTCAATGATAATGTTATTAAGCTTATCATACAATATGAAAGCAACTTACTTAAAATAAATAGACAAAACTTGTCTATATTATTTAATGAAACATGCATCAATATATATAAGTATAGTATTGGTGTAGACGGAATAAATTCCAATAACCCAAAATACTATTCTTAAAAGAGTGCTCAATACAGAGTAGAGCAAATATTATATGAAGTGATGGTGTTGCAACGCCATCACTTGATAAGACACCAAAGTATTGAAACATAATGGCTATTTTTGTAGTGATGTTATAACATGTTTATGTTATAAGTTTTGAATATATATATATATATATATATATATATATATATATATATATATATATTAGAGAGGGAGAGAGAAAACGAATATATACACATACTGGCAAAAACAAACACACAAGACGGAGCACGCACACACACACGAACCCTACACACCATACAAAGCGTGTGTATGTATACATACTATTTCTTGTAGTTAAACAAAATATATATGTATGAAAATATATATATATATATATATATATATATATATATATATATATATATATATATATATATATATATATATATAGATAGATAGATAATATTAGTGGTAAATATACACACATACATGCAAAATGTATAAATACATATACATACATGCATACATATACATATATATTTAGAATAAAAAAAATTCTAAGAGGATAGAATCCAGGTAGAACTCAATGTCCAGGACAGAGTAAGGATATAATAAAAGGGCTTAAACACTAATATCCCATGGTCATAATTTATTCCATTGGAATCGTAAATACGATCCAATTCATCAGACCTACAAATTCAAAAAGATAACAGAAAAAACAACTCCGGAAATAAAAAAATAGAATTTAGAGAGAGTAATGTAAGTATGAGAGTGTGGGATCGTATTTACGATTCCAATGGAATAAATTATGACCATGGAATATTAGTGTTTAAGCCTTTTTTAATTATATATATATATATATATATATATATATATATATATATATATATAAAAAAGAAGAGAGGTGCCGCAAACGTTTTTTGGTTGTAATGTGGATTTATTTAGAAAAATATTATGCTTTGTTTTACATAATTTTACTACGACACGTGTTTCTGGTCTCGCGACCGTCTTCAGGTAAAAGTGGAGATTTCTACATATTATTAAAAATAATTAATTTTTCTTCATGTTCAATGTGAATATTCTCGATATGAGACATTCTCTGTTTGTGTGTTGGCAATCCGAATTTTCTTTCTAGAATTGTCAATGAAGAGTTCTGCGTGAAGGTCATAAAACAATTAAGGTTTGTCCAGCGAGTAGTTATCGGCATTTAATCTTTTTAATGTTTTAGTGACCCCTATGTGCTGGATCTGTTTCTATTTTGGTGTTCCTTGTCAGCATGCGTGTATATATGCGTGCGTATATTTCCCTCCATACATATTGTCTTACTACGAGGAATTCGTAAACTTATTTGTACCTATACACGCATACACACACATACGCACATACACACTATCCCACCACAAGTAATCAGTACACACACACATATACACACATATTTCCCAAGCGCAGAACTCTTCATTGACAATTCTAGAAAGAAAATTCGGATTGCTAACACACAAACAGAGAATGTCTCATATCGAGAACATTTCACATTGAACATGAAGAAAAAATTAATTATTTTT